CTGGGGGGGGGGGTAAAGTTATCCATCCCTTTCCTCTTAGAGCTAGATTTTTAGCAGCAGCTTCGCTATGGTACTCTGTTGAGCTTTAACAGATGCCCGGATGCGAGTAAGGGCTCCTGAAGGTGTCTCGACAGCGTATTTCGAAGCCACGCTTGCTCTGAAGCAATCGATCATCATATCCGGTCATTGGGCCACCAAGTATGCTATCCACTTGGTCTTCATGACCAGCATATGCTATCAGGTGAGTTGAATATCCTAAGGACAATTAGGTGAACGTTTCGTCCTAGGATTCTCACAAAAACACGACCGTCAGATTGACGACGAGTGCTTCTTGATGCAAGGGTTGCTGTGTATTCCGCGCAGAGTAAGGCATAATCTACGAAGTTGCATCATGAAATGCACAAATGAATGGCATGTACGATCTATACAGGAGTGGACCCGAGATGCTGTCTATCTTCTTCGCTCTGCTTTTTAATCTCAAGACTGACGTATATTTGGACGTGAGGCGTGTAATGAGTTCGTTCATCCTGACACGGTACGTAATCCGCTGCACGAAACCTGTAAAATTGTGGCAACAAGAATGGTTTGTCGGGCTGCCATTTTAAACGGTCCAAGGATAAGAGAATTATAATCAGACCTATTGCTTCTCAGAAAATCGAGAGAATTCCACCACATGTGATACAAAACAGGGACGAATTTACTAATTGTAAGCTCTCAGAGGAAACGCTGCTGCATTGCTTAGATAAAACGAGCATATCTGAAAAACGCGTCGTCGCGAAGTAAGTCAAAAGGGCATTTAACTGGTGAGGAGTACTCGGAAAGCTTTTAATGGACAGGTTGGAAGCACAAAACAAGATCTTTAGACAAGTTTTTATTTGTGTTGCGCAAGGAAAGATCCACTTCTCGCCGTAGTCAAGTTTTAGGAAAATAATTAGCGATGGCGATGGTAAGCAGTGATTTCAGATTCTATATGAAAGATGATGGGTATCAAATGATAAAAATACGCTGTAATTTTGTGGATTCCGTTGCACGCGTTCTAAGCTGTTGATTGTGGGTGTATTGATCTCGTGCAAATAAATTTAGAAGCTAACAATGCATCATTTCAACTATAAATCCTGGCCATAAGAGTGAGATAATTTTTAGATAGGGGTAGGCGAACTGCTTAATCTTCTGCCAGCTAACGGATTTTTCCGATTG